ATAAGATCTCAGTGCATGTATGTTTTGAGTACAGTCATTCTTACACTTCCAACAACACGCCGCATGCACGTTAGACACAGCAAACAATCCATGATTCACTTTTAGATTTGTTTAAATACAGAGAAAACCTCAGAATTTTCAACTTATTCAGATATGTGACCATGGGTGTTACAGTCTTAACTGACTACTGTTTAGTTATAGACATAAGTCAAACAGAACTACAAGGAAGCAGGGTGCACGGACCATGAACAGAGACGACGGGGCCTTCACCTTGGCCCCGGAAACCTTGGACACAGGAAAATGGGAGGTTTGGCCACCATTAAGATTCAAAACCCTTTTCCTATCTTTTCCATCGTTTTCATTTTCATTACTCATGACTCATTTGTTTTTTGTTAATTTTGAAAAAAAAAAAACTTTTTGCAAATTAAATAAAAGTACATTATTTCAGAGTTTGAACTTGAACTCTGGTTTCTTGAAGGTGTAAATCTCTCGCCAAAAGGGCAGATGGTCACACTGAGGCTCCCTGCTCCTTCCTCCTCCTCCAGCCTGTCCATCCTCTCTGCTCCTCTTCCTCTCTGCCCCTCCCTGCTCCTCTCTGCTCCTCTCTATAAACGGATTAACATCATGGCCTTCGTCTGATCGTTGTAATCCCTCATTTTCTAAAAGGGATTAACTGGAATTATCAGGAATTTGGAAAACACTGTTGGGAAGACTTCCAGAAAACCACTCGGGAACTCAAATGGCTAAAAAGACACCAAACTTGTGAGCAGAATCCAAGACTCTATTTGTTTATTGTAAATATATTGCACTGTGTAATCAGTGTTGTTACAATATATAATATCATATATGTCATCCATTTTATCAATTTTATATATATATATATATATATATATATATAAAAACTTTGGGGACAGTTATATTCAGGACATGTCGTGTTAGAGGCTTTGTGAATGGATGAATAAACAGGACAGAAGACTCTTTAATGGTTGGGGATAAAACTAGAATCTCTAATTATAGATTATACATTATGCAAAACAATATGATTCAATAACTGCAGAAAAACTGGGCGTTGTAACAAAGCCCCAGTGAGCCAAGATGGCGTCCTATTGGGGACCTAAGATCAGTGTAACTCGCCCATATTTGAGCATCGTCTGGCCCTCCCGGTTCTGCGCAGTAGTCGAGCTCCCATGATGCTTTGCGCCAAATAAAAGTGTGTGGCTCTCATGCACGTGCACAGAGGACAGCGTTCTGACCAATCAGAGCTGCTAATCAGAGCGCCGATAGAGCGGGAGACGATCGAGCAGAGTTTGTTTCACTAACGTGTAGATTTAAAGAAAACCGAAGGATTTAAGAAGAGAAAAAGTTCAGGACGACCAGGGACACAATAATCCCCAAAAAAATCCTCCTTTATGAAAGCTAAGTTCTCTGTCAGGTTCTCTGTCAGCTGAGGTCAAGGTGTTTTAGTTTACATTGAGTTCTATGGGAAAATTTCTGTGTAGCCCACGTGAATATAGTTTTGTTTAGTCTGCAGTGCCGTGAAAATGGATCCTTCAGCTCCAAGCTAGTAACACCCCTGTCCAGATATAACATCTCAATGGACGTAACACATCACGTCCAAACGTCTGGAGCTGTTGATAGTGAACATTCGGCAGTAACAACCGCAGACATTTCAGGACTATTTGGTCTCATTGCCCCAAATGTAACACATCAGTACAGTTTAGTGTGGAGTAAGCCTCAGAACAGATTTAGTGTAATTTAAGTATGTAAAGACAACTTAAACATGCACAAACGTTCCGTCACTTTGCTCTCATCAAATCCTCCACTGTACCATCCACTGCTCGATGTCGCCCCATTTCCCGTCCTGCCGCTCGTCTTTGGGGCTCAGGCCGTAATATTTCTGATGAAGGGAAAGGAAAAGGCAAAGACAAGGTTGCAACAAAACATCAAGAAGAAAAGCAAGCATTTAAAACAGTGCTTCTCAAACTTTGGCCCCTAAAGCTGTCAATAAAGTCAATACTATCAAACCTGCGGTACTGTATAGCCCCCTAGTGGACACTAAAGTGCACTGCGAGTCTGGGCTACTATGGCATGTTCTAAATCATTGTAAAGCAGTTTTTTATCAAGAAAACAAACACACTATTATCATTATCATAGACATTGAACACTAAACGCAAAAATTAGTAAACATTCCCTACAAAACTCTTTGCTTCAATTTTGCTTCAATCCAAGCAGCTGGACTTTACCCTTTAGGCGCCAAAACAGCAAAATTGCTACTCAAGTAGGAAGAATGCAAATCTGGATTTAAAAATTCAATCCAGTCTGAGAGCACTTGAAACATCCTCATTGATGTTTAACTGTTTTTATAATCTGTAATATTATGAAATTATTTGTAACTGTATGCAACTTCCAACTTGTCCAAGACTCCCTTGAAAACGAGATTCTGATTCCGAATGGGACTTTTCTAGTTAAATAAAGGTTAAAACAATAAAAACAATCTCCTAAAACCAGAACATTTTCTATACAGCGATTTTGCTTCACACGATTGTCTCCCTTCATTTTCTTCTGACATAATTGGTGCCATGTATTTCCATGAATGGTTAAAGTAGTCCTCTATAGTTACAGGGCATCACCTTTTGTCTCTTTCACAAAAACAAACGCTGGTGCCTAAAGAATAATCATAGAGAGGTATATTAAAACAGATATAATTAATAAGAGTCATTTCTCACATTAAAACGCTTCTTATAGTTTTGGCAAGTTAAAGTTAAACAGTTTGAGAAGCACTGAGAGAAAGTAAAGAAATGCATCAGTGTCGTACCTTTTGTACCTGAAAGATCTACTCATGGAGGAAAGGAGAACAAATGGAAACATGGAAAACAGGAAAAGCATAAATCAGACAAAAAGTGAAGTCTAAGCCAAAGTTAAAGCTGGGTCACAAAAGACAGAGGGAGAGAGGAAGGAGTGAGGGCCGAGTGTCGTAAGAGAGGAATGTCAGGTTCAAAGAAGCAATAGTTCACTGGACACTAATGACTAAACGGCTTTCCCGGCAGATTACAAATTATAAGGTTTTTACTTTGTCACGTGTGTTTTAGAATGTGATATAACTAGAGAAGTAGAAAATGTATGGGAAAACAAGAATGAAGGGTAAAAAAATAAAAAAATAAATAAGGCTTTCCGCCTGCAACTCCCTACATCGCCACCAGAGGGAGGAGCTCACTTTGTTATTGCATTTTTTCCATAATAAAAAAAACAGAGCCATGCAATTGTAAATAATAGAGTTTCACCTGTATGTGTTGATACTAATGTAGAGAAAATACTTTGTTTTAAATTAACCGACCTGGTTGTAACGGACAGGGCTGAGGCTGAAGGGGCGGAGTTACACGGATCCAAAAATAACCAAGTTTTTGATGATGGAACAATGCATGGGTAAAAGCATTATACAGGTTACAAACATATCACACATTTAACACATTTTAAACATGGGTCTAAAATACAAAATCGATGCACGTCAGTCTTGCCGTATCGCTCTGCACTCCGCCCCTTTTACGAGAGGTCAGAGGAAACGCCAGAGCGCATTGTATTGCCTTGAACACAACTGCGCTATTCAAATAAATGTCTCACCCACTTTTTCAATCCCATGCAGGAGAACTGAAGTGCGGGAAAAACAGTTGTATAATAATAAACGTGCGAGAACTTCAAGATGACAAAAGAATACAAAAATACCTTTTTTTTGACCAACAGCTCGACAGTTCTGATCTGTGACAAGGCAAATAAATTGTAATCATACTGTAATAATAAATCTGCGCAAATATTTTATTTGCAACAGACGCCAATAGAAAAATATCGGAAAAGTCACAAGTAAAAGTTGCTTCCTTGTACTTCTTAAGTATTAACTTGTTACAACTTTATAGTTACTACAAATGTAAATCTATTTGACACCAACAGATGCCTTCGGTTCATGTACAGACCATAATAAACAGCACATTTGAGTTGATCCCATTTTGCCTTTGAATATTATAACACATAAAGCGTCTTTGAGTGTCCAAAAAAGCGCAATATAAAACCGATGCATTATTATTATTATTAGTATTATGAGGAACTTGAATCGCAAATCGAATCCTCACATTTTTGCCAATTCCCTCTTATTGAAAACGTAGCCCAACTCCAGACATTAAACCGAGGGACTGGGCACTCGTTACTTCATGTCTGGACACTCAATTATCCCAGAGACCACGTTACACAACCGGCTTCCAGACTCCACTGCTCTGCTCCAATACGAGGCTCAGAAAACATTGTTGTGACAGAAATATGGTTAAAATCTTGATGTTGTGATATTGCTTAATATTTGACATATTTATTGGGACATTCTTTACAAACTGCACATTTTTAAAGTCATGTCATTCCACATTTGGGCCCAGATTGTTTCTCCCTTTGATGCTCCCAGTGACATTTTGAAGGAATAAGTATTGACACACCAAGGAATAAACAAAAAATTTGAATTCTTAATATTATAAAAATACAAGTTACGTTGCAGTAGATAGATGATTCCTAACCAGACACGTGCCTTTCCATGTGTGTTGTGATGCTGTTTACTGTATTTTAGTTGTTAATGGTTTTTGCAAAGAGTAAGTGGTGGAGCTATTGTATCACACACACAAGGGAACGGTTCATTAACTCACTGACTGCCAGGCATTTTCAGATTTGAGAAGTGCATTCTGCCAGCAATTTCAGGTGATTTGACCCAACTTTGAAGTGCCACAGAATATTCATTTTTTAGACGATGTAAACACCAAGGGCACCAAATTAAAGATTCACCTCTCTGCTTTACTCTGAAAAAAAACAGTTTGTTTTTACCTCTTACGGTTCTTGCGTTATTCGCCATAGAACAAAGCATACTTTCACCCATAACACCTGGTCTGAGCAAGAAAACAGAGAAAACGAGCTGTATGTAAACAGGAACATATCAAGCAGAAAAGAGACTTTTAGATGCATTTTTGCTGCTTTAGTGACAACTCAAAACATCTCCACACTTGTTCCATTACAAAAATTATAAAAACATGACTCTGAAATAATACTTTTGATGGCAAATTGTTGGCAATTTATTCACAGATAGAAAATTTTACTTTCTTCTATACCATCAACCAAAACGTCAAACAACAACAACACAAAGATCAATAAAACTATAGATGTATAAAATAGAATGAAGCATGTGAATTTGAGTGTGTGTGTGTGTGTGAATGTCAGTGTGCGAGTGAGTGAGTGTCTGTGTGAGTGTGTGTCAGTGTGTGTGAATGTCAGTGTGCGAGTGAGTGTCTGTGTGCGTGAGTGAGTGAGTGAGTGCGTGTGAGTGTTTGTGAGTGTGTCCGATAAATCATGATCAGGTTTGCTGAACGAATCCGAGGCATCAGTAACAGCAGCAGCTGATACGCTGCGAGAGGCGGAAGGTGTGTCTCTGCTCGGGGCTCTTGCTCCGCGCAAATATGGCTGCAGATACGGACCTCCACCCGGGTCTCCGCTCTCTCCCCTCTCGACCTCACTCACTGATCCGCGAGTCAATCCCTGAAGCAGTGTATACTGCTTATAACTATTCTTTTTCGCCATCACTCTTGCTATACTATTGCTAAACTAGATCACTGATCCGTCTCAATGCTACGCTATCATCGCTCTGCTACAGCAGCACGCTGTCCAAAGACCCCACACTCCTCCTCCTTCTCTCCACTGACTTATGACCTCTCCTGTGGTGCAATACTGCATCCTACTGGTGTTGATTTATCATTACAGGTACATTTGCACTATATATCAGTGTTGTGGGTCATTAACAAGGTGCGCCAGACATTACTGCAGCCTCCCGTGTAATAACACGAAAAAGTCGTCTAAGTCGTCTTGGGCAGTGAGCGTCACTATACAATAGAACGACTTTTGTCGTCATGGGCAGTGAATGAGTTAACAGATGGAAATGAGTTTTTCTACTTTCATTTGTCTTATTTACACTGCATGTACAGCTGTTCATGAATGTGCACTGTCCGAAATATTCAATAAGATAAAAACACATTCATATAGATTTGTGAAGCTAATCCCAAAAAAGAAATAGGTTCATGAGATTAGATTAGATTATGGTTGTCAGAAGAAGTACATAAACAAGACTAGATGTCCTTTTTTCTGGGCAATTGTCGATACATTTAACTATATCAAAACAAGTTGTATGGACCTCATTTCTTTTTTTATTCAATTGTGGAAAAAACAACATATTACATTTCAAACTATTTTCCTGTCACAATTTGTATGATTATTTAGAGTCAAGAAAATGCATCTCATTATCCTAAATGAGTGTCGCGGTTTCAAAGTTGGTAATAAGTAAGCACTGTGTAACACATTTTACAACATGTATGGACATTTATCAATATTCATGGACATTGGTCTCTCCATATGGACCAATACACATGTTCTATATTTTTTGTGTCTGTGTTGGTGATTTCAATGGTTTTGTTAAGTCCTCTGAGATGACTTCTGTTGTGATTTAGGGCTATACAAGAATAAATTGTATTGTATTGTATGACTAAAAGTTGGTAGTTTAGTATCTTGACAGTAGTAGAGATATGGATACATAGATTCGTCACAGCTCGACAGGACGCAACTAAATCTTATAATCACGCATCTAAAAAGAAACCAAATAGAAGAATTTCGGATTGATATGTTGATGGAATCACAGACAAGCACGACTCTCTCTGGATACACTTTTGAAAGAGAAAAGAAAAAACATGGATCCAAATCTACTAAAAGCTGACAATGCTAAACCTCTCTTTAGTGAATTGTTATGGTCTGTACGTCATCTTTACAGGCACGAGGTGAATCTGAAAAGCGAATGAAAGAAATGCATGAATCTTGAGTAGCTCCCTGCACTCACCACATGTCTGTAGTCTGGAGGGGTCCTGGGACGTCCACAGAGGGCAGCCCTGTGCTCCCTCACCGAAACCCTCCGACCTGCCGTGTTTTAAGACCAACGGAGCTCCATTTGGAAAAGCCAGGGTCCAAAAATCGCATCCAGGCTGGTCCTACGTTTATTCAGGGTATCCCAGCACCTTATTTCTGTCCCGATGTCTAAACCAAGCCACTGTCTGTACTCACTGGGGTTGCAGCTTTACAACATTGCAAGCTATGGTAAATTTATTATCATCCAAATTGCTGGTGTCTTTGGAAGTGGTCGGTTTGATAAAATGGCTAAAAACAGTCATCTACAAAAAGGTAGCATCCAAAAGAGTGGTTCTACTTTCCAGCACAGTCGCATTACCGTGACTCGAGAATATTTTCAGCTGCCCAACGCTATGATGAAGCCAGACAAAGATCGCTTAAAAAGTTTGTATTTGAAATCGGTCCGTGTTCAGGTAGCAGCTCGTTCGTCAAACCTCTCCCATGTGTTTCCCACCTCAAAACTTTCCATTTAGTTTCATTTTAAAGTGGTCCGCATCCAAAATCACTGGTTCCTTTTGAGCAAAAAACAAGTACCAAAATACACATGGACTTCTATGCGACAGTATTCCAGATTCTCCCAGGTCCTGTTCCCGTGGCTTGTATCAAAACAAAGCTTAGAGACTGTGTCCGGTCGCTCGGTTGAAAGCATGAGCTGCTAATCTGCTGTGTAATTCGTCTGAAGGTTTAAAGGGACAGTTGACAGCAGTAATCCACGGCATATGACCCACTCACCTCCTCTGCTTTCACACAGACCACGAGATCACAGCTTTGTAGCTAATGTTGAGCTAAACGGGCTAATGTTCGGATTCAAGACTATTTTCAAGTGATTTATAGAGCTGTCAGACTGTAGGCATTAGTTGACAAAATGTTTCAATAAAATGTCAGGTTTTCTGTGGAAAAAGTGTAGGTGAAAATATGGTATATAGAATGTGCCCAATAAAGCGCAAATACAACAATTTAGTGGCATTTTCTCCCCATTCCCAGACTTTAGGAAGGCCTATCAAGGCACAATGAAAAACCCCAGATTTGTTTTTATGAAGTGCATTCCTAGCACATAGTGAGTAAAGTTTTTTTCACTTTAAAAAAATGAATGCCAATATATATAAATTTCTATATTGGAAAACAATATTTCCAGTTCAAATGCTCTATTACTGTGCGTATGTTTGTAATATTGGTCCACTAATTAGTTACAAACAAAACCTTTTGAATATACATTAAAAGAATCATTTTTTATTTAATTTTGTACAAAAAGGTAAGAGATGCTGCTGGAAATTTCCTATTGTATAAATAAATACACATTGTTGGTATACATTTCTTCTAATTTTGAGAACCCAAGAACGCGTATTTTTGACTTAATCAGTAGCATTGAACCTTTCTTCTCTGTGTTGTTATTGCACCACAGCTTAGATCCTGCTGTAAACATTGGTGTAAATGCATTATAGGAGCCTGGATAACAGTGGGAGGCAGCAGTGTGTGTGTGTGGGATTACACAGGGCTAAGAATAGAGGCCCCCTGTGGTTCAAACTACACCAACCAACAAGACCAACAAGAGTTCAACCACCTGCAGACACGAAGGACACTGGGAACTTTAAAGGGGACATGACGAGAGAAACCTTTCACTCTCTCTCTGTCAGCCTCTCTCTCTCTCGCCGGTCTCTCTCTCGCCTCTCTCTCGCCTCTCTCTCGCCTCTCTCTCGCCTCTCTCTCGCCTCTCTCTCGCCTCTCTCTCGCCTCTCTCTCGCCTCTCTCTCGCCTCTCTCTCGCCTCTCTCTCGCCTCTCTCTCGCCTCTCTCTCGTCTCTCTCTCGTCTCTCTCTCGTCTCTCTCTCGTCTCTCTCTCGTCTCTCTCTGGTCTCTCTCTCGTCTCTCTCTGGTCTCTCTCTCGCCTCTCTCTCGCCTCTCTCTCGTCTCTCTCTCGTCTCTCTCTCGTCTCTCTCTCGTCTCTCTCTCGTCTCTCTCTCGTCTCTCTCTCGTCTCTCTCTCGTCTCTCTCTCGTCTCTCTCTCGTCTCTCTCTCGTCTCTCTCTCGTCTCTCTCTCGTCTCTCTCTCGTCTCTCGTCTCTCTCTCGTCTCTCTCTCGTCTCTCTCTCGTCTCTCTCTCGTCTCTCTCTCGTCTCTCTCTCTCTCTCTCTCTCTCGTCTCTCTCTCGCCTCTCTCTCGCCTCTCTCTCGCCTCTCTCTCGCCTCTCTCTCGCCTCTCTCTCGCCTCTCTCTCGCCTCTCTCTCGCCTCTCTCTCGTCTCTCTCTCGTCTCTCTCTCGTCTCTCTCTCGTCTCTCTCTCGTCTCTCTCGTCTCTCTCTCGTCTCTCTCTCGTCTCTCTCTCGTCTCTCTCTCGTCTCTCTCTCGTCTCTCTCTCGTCTCTCTCTCGTCTCTCTCTCGTCTCTCTCTCGTCTCTCTCTCGTCTCTCTCTCGTCTCTCTCTCGTCTCTCTCTCGTCTCTCTCTCGTCTCTCTCTGGTCTCTCTCTGGTCTCTCTCTGGTCTCTCTCTGGTCTCTCTCTGGTCTCTCTCTGGTCTCTCTCTGGTCTCTCTCTGGTCTCTCTCTGGTCTCTCTCTGGTCTCTCTCTGGTCTCTCTCTGGTCTCTCTCTCGCCTCTCTCTCGCCTCTCTCTCGTCTCTCTCTCGTCTCTCTCTCGTCTCTCTCTCGTCTCTCTCTCGTCTCTCTCTCGTCTCTCTCTCGTCTCTCTCTCGTCTCTCTCTCGTCTCTCTCTCGTCTCTCTCTCGTCTCTCTCTCGTCTCTCTCTCGTCTCTCTCTGGTCTCTCTCTCTGGTCTCTCTCTGGTCTCTCTCTGGTCTCTCTCTGGTCTCTCTCTGGTCTCTCTCTGGTCTCTCTCTGGTCTCTCTCTGGTCTCTCTCTGGTCTCTCTCTGGTCTCTCTCTGGTCTCTCTCTGGTCTCTCTCTGGTCTCTCTCTGGTCTCTCTCTGGTCTCTCTCTGGTCTCTCTCTGGTCTCTCTCTGCCTCTCTCTCGCCTCTCTCTCGCTCTCTCTCGTCTCTCTCTCGTCTCTCTCTCGTCTCTCTCTCGTCTCTCTCTCGTCTCTCTCTCGTCTCTCTCTCGTCTCTCTCTCGTCTCTCTCTCGTCTCTCTCTCGTCTCTCTCTCGTCTCTCTCTCGTCTCTCTCTCGTCTCTCTCTCGTCTCTCTCTGGTCTCTCTCTGGTCTCTCTCTGGTCTCTCTCTGGTCTCTCTCTGGTCCTCTCTCTGGTCTCTCTGGTCTCTCTCTGGTCTCTCTCTGGTCTCTCTCTGGTCTCTCTCTGGTCTCTCTCTGGTCTCTCTCTGGTCTCTCTCTGGTCTCTCTCTGGTCTCTCTCTGGTCTCTCTCTGGTCTCTCTCTGGTCTCTCTCTGGTCTCTCTCTGGTCTCTCTCTGGTCTCCCTCTCTGCCCTTTCTTTCTGGCCTAATGTTGGTAATAATACATAAAAAATATATTTTCATGACATAATATTTTGACTAATCGTTTCTACCCTAATATAAACTGTACTTACAGAATCATATCAATAAAACACAGATTTCAAAAGAAGCCGCTGCAGCATCAGAGATTGAAAGTGCATAGGACTCTTTATAGTGCTCTTTCTTAGTGATCTTAAGAGCTTTTCCTAATTTGGCCTGAGATCCATTGGACGTCACTGTTAAAGATGATTAGTTTGGAACCAAAGAGAAACAGTGGAAAACTAAATGCTCTGAAAGGATATTTCTTTTGATACAAAACCTACACTTTACAATAGTATCTCATACATACATACAGTACAGACCAAAAGTTTGGACACACCTACTCATTCAAAGAGTTTGCATTATTTTCATGACTTTTAAAATTGTAGATTCACATTGAAGGCATCAAAACTATGAATTAACTCATGTGCAATTATGAACGTATTTCAAAGAAGTATGAAACAACTGAAAATATGTCTATTCTAGGTTCTTCAAAGTAGCACCTTTTGCTCTGCTTCACTCACTCTTGGCATTCTCTTGATGAGGTAGTGACCTGAAATGGTCTTCCAACAGTCTTGAAGGAGTTCCCAGAGATGCTTAGCACTTGTTGGCCCTTTTGCCTTCACTCTATGGTCCAGCTCACCCCAAAACCTTCTGGATTGGGTTCAGGTCCGGTGACTGGAGGCCAGGTCATCTGGCCCAGCACCATCACTCTCCTTATTGGTCAAACAGCCCTTACACAGCCTGGGTGTGGATCTACAGTCAATAGTCATGAAAAGAAAGGACACTCTTGAATGAGAAAGTGTGTTCAAAACTTTGGGTCTGTACTATATCTCTCTGGTCTCCCTCTCTGGTCTCCCTCTCTGGTCTCCCTCTCTGGTCTCCCTCTCTGGTCTCCCTCTCTGGTCTCCCTCTCTGGTCTCCCTCTCTGGTCTCCCTCTCTGGTCTCCCTCTCTGGTCTCCCTCTCTGGTCTCCCTCTCTGGTCTCCCTCTCTGGTCTCCCTCTCTCTGGTCTCCCTCTCTGGTCTCCCTCTCTGGTCTCCCTCTCTGGTCTCCCTCTCTGGTCTCCCTCTCTGGTCTCCCTCTCTGGTCTCCCTCTCTGGTCTCCCTCTCTGGTCTCTCTCTCTGGTCTCTCTCTCTCTGGTCTCTCTCTCTCTGGTCTCTCTCTCTCTGGTCTCTCTCTCTCTGGTCTCTCTCTCTCTGGTCTCTCTCTCTCTGGTCTCTCTCTCTCTGGTCTCTCTCTCTCTGGTCTCTCTCTCTCTGGTCTCTCTCTCTCTGGTCTCTCTCTCTCTGGTCTCTCTCTCTCTGGTCTCTCTCTCTCTGGTCTCTCTCTCTCTGGTCTCTCTCTCTCTGGTCTCTCTCTCTCTGGTCTCTCTCTCTCTGGTCTCTCTCTCTCTGGTCTCTCTCTCTCTGGTCTCTCTCTCTGGTCTCTCTCTCTGGTCTCTCTCTCTGGTCTCTCTCTCTGGTCTCTCTCTCTGGTCTCTCTCTCTGGTCTCTCTCTCTGGTCTCTCTCTCTGGTCTCTCTCTCTGGTCTCTCTCTCTGGTCTCTCTCTCTGGTCCCTCTCTCTGGTCCCTCTCTCTGGTCTCTCTCTCTGGTCTCTCTCTCTGGTCTCTCTCTCTGGTCTCTCTCTCTGGTCTCTCTCTCTGGTCTCTCTCTCTGGTCTCTCTCTCTGGTCTCTCTCTCTGGTCTCTCTCTCTGGTCTCTCTCTGGGTCTCTCTCTCTGGTCTCTCTCTCTCTGGTCTCTCTCTCTGGTCTCTCTCTCTGGTCTCTCTCCCTCTCTCACTCAACAGTTTGTTTAGTCTCACTTCATTCCATTCTCACAAGAGGGACATTTCTTTCTTTGACTTATTTTAAGTTTGTTCCAAATACAAAATAGATTATAGTTTTTGTGCTCAACTAAACACAATCACATCATCTTCAAACACTTACAATAGAAAATGAGATCAAAAGAAAACAGTTACTTGGCTGCACGGCTCAATGCTGGTTTTTAGTTAGTCCTCATTGTTTCTTGTACAGTCTGACAGTAGCAGGGAGGAAAGACCTGCGGAACCTCCTTTACACAGCGAGGGTGAATAAGTCTGTCACTGAAGCTGCTCTCAAATAGTCACAATTTTGCCAATTCCCTCTCCTAATAGTTTGTTTCTTGCGTCTGCACCCGGTGTCTTGATAATTGAGAAAACAACAAAAAATACATTAGAAAAAAGTCACACATATTTGTTATATCGGGTTGTGTTTTCTTCGCCACAACTCTATAATTTGAAATGTGACGTTGTTGATAGTAAAAAGGTTTAAATCTCCTGTGATTAAAACGTTGGACTCTGACCTCTTTCTGCTGCCGCTCCAGTTCCTTCATGCGAATCTCTCGGGCCTCGGCTCGCGCTGCTCTCTTTGCCGCCAGTCGCGCTTCTGCCTAAAATCACAAAGAAATCACATGAATGAATGAATAAAAGGAAATGAAATCACTGGGAAAATTACAAAAGAGAAGTACTCATGACTTTGAGGGCGTTTATGAAAACAGCTGATAGTGTGGGAGAAGCTGTGCGAAGGTAAAAGTCTATAGATTTTAAAGTATACATAGACTTTATAGAGATTATAAAGTAAATATAGACTTTATATAGAGATTTTACAGAGATTATAAAGTATATTTAGACTTTATATAGAGATTTGAAAGTAGAGTTATATTATGCGGGCCTTTCTAAACAGCAACGATGACTATACTGTACAACAAAATCATATCAATGAAGAATTCACAATGAAATACAGACAATATTAAATTAAACAGATTAGGAATTGTGAAAAGATGATACATAAGGTTCTTACAAAGCCTGTTTTACTTGGACATATGATTTCTTATCTGTCTATATTCAACATATTACTAAACCGGAACCAAAACGCCTTCATCATTGTCCCCCATTTCAATGCAACAAAGCTCCATTCAAATCCACTCGATGCTAATGTTATGAGCGGGGCCTGTACACTGATGCATTGTGGGCAGAGGCCGAGCTCCGTCTGCTCTGGGACCAAAAGCCTCTTCCCTTAAATGGAGTTTGTGAGTTTGTGTTGTGTGTCTAAGTATTTCCTTCCCCTCTGCGCTGTGGTGGTTCTCTGCGGCTCCAGGCGTGGCTAAAGTCCATGACGTACACATGGTTTTATATAAAGAGCTAGCATGGCGTAAAGTGTGATTTATATAGTCTGAAATACAGAATAGGCCACGACTGAACTAGCTCTGACACAACCACAACACTGGTGACTTCAGAAGACCACTTCTAACTGTGTTTCTTTGCATTAATCGTCTTTAACTTAAGCATAGCACACAAAATACGGTTAAGAAATAAGCAAAATCCTCAAAATAGCAGCAATTTTATTTATGTTTCAATACTAAATAACTAAATCCATTCGAAATTATGTTCATGGGAGGCTACACGTTTTTACTTCTTTCGCTCTGCATTTTGGGCTGATAAATTGCAAATAGAAATACATTTGTGAAAATCGTTGAAATTGTATATTGATCATTTTGCTTTTCTCTTCGGCATATTGCGTTTTAAGGTCAGAATGTGCTCGACTTTGACCATTTTTTGTGCAATGGCAATGTCAAATTTTTCACTTATTTTTCATCACTTTTTGCCTCAAAACACTGACTAATCACAACATGTACAAAAGACCCTTGAGCCGCTTTTTAAAATGTCACCAAGACCTTTCACAGAAACAGTATTTTCCGATTCCTACATGAAGATATTGGCAAAGTGTCCAGAAGTAATAATATGAGGTGGTCTCCAGATGCTGTACTATTTATAGAGATTCCCTCAAGGTATCGAGTAACAATGAACCAAAAATAGCCAGGCCTGCAGACCTTACCATCTGTTTAAATGGTCAAACATGAAAAGATTTTTTCACTTTTTACAGATGATGGTATTGTCTTTCAGAATTTAACATGTGCTAAATCAAAGAAAGATCTATTCACACTACAGCCAAAGATTATGGATTAGGGCCATCAAAAAACAAAAGGTGATGGGGTGTTTGCCACTTGCTTGTCTTCTTGGAAAGGTTTTCTGGTCTGGAGACGGGTGACGTTGGAAGTGACTTTTATTCTTGTGAAGAGAAAGAAACGCCAGTTAGACCCACCCACAAAGTTTCCCGATTGGATGAAATGAAGTTAAATCGGTATCATTGGTCAAACTATTCACGTTAAAGAGTTAAAGGAACAATATGTACAAATCTGGCCAAAAGTGGTACTGCAACCTCACTCTGACCATAAAATCTGAAAAGCCAAGAGTTTTTGTCAGCAACAAATCTATAACCAACACCTTTTTCACAAAGATAGAAATCCTGGTTTTGTTGCTTGTTTTGTCGTTAATGATTTGAGAATCATAACGAGACCTTTTTTAATTCTGCGGCCACATGGTACTTTACCAGTGAGATTAGCTCGACACGGTGAGTTATTGACTGGATTAACGGGGGAGGGCGGGACAATAAATTAAAACAATAACAAGATTTAGGGGCTGTAAAACAAATTTTGAAATCCAATAATCTCTGAACCACTGTTATTAGTTAAATAAGTGTTCAAAAAGAGCATGGTTTTTAAATCCTTTTCACAGATTAGGGACCTTTAATGATGACTTAACATGAAAATCTTACATATTGCTTCCAACTGTGAGGCTGGACTTGAAGACCAGTTTAAGGAAAAAATAAGTCACAACAGATATATCATACAATAAGGAACAAAAGGGATTAAAAACAAAGTGGTGTGCTGAAAGAAAAAAACTCAACAATATAACAAAAAGGGCCCGACTCAAACAAAGCTAGTCTACAGAAGGAATTAACCGAAAATTGTGAAGTCTTAGTGTTTAATACTTCAAACCGATAGCACCATGAAGGCTCAGACACTTGATGCATCTTTTTACACCACCATCATTTAATAGTTGCAGATGAACTGCAACTTAAACGTGACTATAAAACTAAACAGTCAGATTATTGACCCTTTACTGTTCTCTTGTTAAACAGCAGTGACAAAGTTGCACAACAGAACCTCGTGCATGACTGGATTTGAAGAGCGACTTTAGCCCGACAGTGGATAGTGTTGCTAAGAGAGAAATGCCTCAACAAACTTCTTTAGCAAAAACAATGACTAAACAAGCGGCAAAAGAAAATGTACGACATAGAACAAAGAAGGAGTGGAACGAGGATCACTGGAAAATCAAACACAAGTTTATAATTTTCAAAGAATGAACCATTTGGACATTTTACTTATTTTATGTGAAGGCCTACTACTCCATGGTTTGTTTGACCAAAACAAACCATGGAGACGGTAACATAAATGGTATCATTCTGTATGTATTCATAATTCCGTCAGATCTCAAACCTCTTATAGGCAAGGTGTGGTTCAAATCTAAATAATCGATTACTAAAATAGTGCATTAGTTGACATTAAAGCTGCACTAACTGACTTTATTTTTGTATTCATTACGAAAATTCAATCCATATCCATGCAATGCATTACGATACATGTCCTTTTGAAGAAAAAGTAGCGCAGATTTGTGCTGGCGTGTCATTTAATTTTAGATCGAGTTTTGGTGAAACAAGGAAGAGAATGTGTTTCGGGTCCTGATTGTGACCAATCACAGCGGACCACTGGCCCCCGCTTTCTTGAGAAAAGCCACAGGTCTGTGGTTAGCACAGACAGCTGAGGTAAACAAGCGGCGGAGGCAAACCTGAAACTCCCCGTGTCTTCGTTACCGGTTTCTGCTTACTCAGCGAAATAGCCATCCAAAAGAAAGTCTCGTTCCTCCACAATTCCCGGTTCTATCGTTCTATGGTCACGCCATCCACTTTCAAATGTGTCCATATTGTGAGACGTGAGCTCCATATACAGTTAGCATGACCATAGGCTGAGGGGAAGGGGAGGAAAGTGGGGGGCGAAAGCTCCGTGCGGGGAGGGCGAGCAGAGAGCGCAAGCTCAGCGTTCTGATTCGAAAGTTTCTCAAAGTCAGTTAGTGCAGCTTTAACTTGCTACAGCGCGAGTAAGAATTTAAAAAAATACATCAAACACATTGAATGGTTGTATAGCCCTAAATCACAACAGTGTCGGAGGATTTTACAAAGTTGTCAGTTCGCTATCAACAGGAAATGCAATAATAACTAACACACATGAGCCATTGGTCCTAAGGGAACGATCATAAATAATATAACGTTAATAAACGTCCAGAGATGTCCCTGAATATCCCAGATCATCACAGTCCTTAGACCTTTCTGCATCAGCAAAAGGGACAACTCATCAGGGCCCAAACATCCTCCCAGAAGGATCTGCTCCCACTGACAGTTCAAGAGCAATGGTCTTGTAGGGGCCACTAACAATGCTCTAGTGGGCCGAATTTGGCCCTCGGGCCTTGGTTTGGACATGCCTGGTCCAGTGTCTGACAGTTTTGGGTTTCTCAGGTTCAGTGCCGTTTCCTCCTCACAGTGTTTTAACTGCAGACTCTCAATAATAAAGGACTTTGATTATTTGCACATGTTTGGAGTTTCTCTGATGTAAAACGTATGTAATGGTTTTAACTGCAGCCGTTTCATGTTCTTAGCTACTTCTTTGGAATCTGAGCAAAACTGTCTGACTGGCTTCACTACATTTTAAAGGATGCTTTAAGAGATTTACATCTTCTCTTAAAAGAACAACTCATACAGACTATCAAAACCTGTCTTGGAAACCACTGTTTCTTTCCTTTCTGGGAGAAGACGGCTGAAGCTGAAGCAGTCTCTACGTGGACAATATTAAGTACGTAAGTACATTATTTATCTTTTTATTTATCTTCCATTATAGCTGTGGAACGTTCCAGACCAAGTGCATATTTAACAATGTGCTTTGAAGACTTTTACTGCTCCATATGAACTGCTCTAATTCTGCACATTCCAAAGGGACAAGCCTCTGGAGAGCGCAGAGGTCCCCGGGAAATTATTATTATGTAGTCGTCCTTAGGCTCGTGCTGAGGTTTAACAGGATGAAGTTGCATCATAATGACTGATCATTTATCTCCTAGCACAGGGACTGGCCTCCTGCTGGTCCCAGAGTCAGGACTAAACATGTGGAGGCAGCGTTTCAGATTCATGCCAAAATCTAGAACAGTCTTCTTAGGAATGAGAGACAGACTTCTTTTCTGACAATGTTCAAATCAAGGTTAAAAATAGTTCGATATTATTTCTATATTTCAGACTCAATCAGTCTATATTTGAAAAGAATAGAAATATATTAAGAGAAAATGCCATTCAATATTTACAGTCAGTCCAAAGAGGATCCACAGGTGAGTTTGGGTCGAGCAGAAGTGTTTTTATTACAGTGGATTCGACTAAAAACATCTTTTGAAAACACTTTAGATTAGCCCCAGTAATTGACAGCTAATTAGAGAACCCTAACCCTCCCCT